ATCTTTGTCAAGAATAAAAAGACTGAGATAATTTTTCATAGTGTTGAATAGGGCGAACACATAATCCATTTTAGGATGTACCAGGGAGGTAACCACAGAACTTACCTGATTAAATAGCACCTAATGAGATCACAGAATCAGTGTAGGGCGTACAGGTGGTTTTCACAGTGCTTGGCATATAGTCAATGTCAAATAAGTATTAATTAAGTAAAAAACTGTGAAGTAGGCAACGTGCTATGATTCTGAAGGGATAGTGCAATGTTAGAAATAACCATTATCCGTTAGTCAGTAATTCGTGATGGAACTGAGGAACAAAGTGCTGTTATAAATTGACTCATTTTTTTTCAACTTACAAGAGGAAATAGCTATGTAAATGACTCCATGAGACTTTTACGTTTCTTTACAGTTATTTGCAGCATGTATTGGATAATGTATCTACAATTCTGCTTTTTCTATTTGCCTGTATTTCTCTTACAGAGCTATAGTAAAGTCAGTTTTAGTTTTAAAACTTCATTCTTGGATTCATTTTTTTTTTTTTGATTTTTTTGATTCAATAAATTTTAAATGAATTAGAACATGTTTATGAATCATTGATGCCTTTTGCTTTTTATATTAAATTGGGCAGTGCTACTATAAGCAAAATTAAACTTAATGCTAATTAAGAGACATCAAGTTGAAAAAAAATTTACCTTTTTTAATTTTAGAATTATATTATAGTCATTGTTGCTTCTTTGTAGGAAATATCCAAAGTTCAAAAATTATTTTGTTTAACTATCATGTTATATCCAAGAGGAATTCATTTAAATATTTAAATAAGCTTTTAAAAATGGCTTTTTTATGATGGTTAAACTTGGGAATTTTAATTTTCCAACTTACGTTCCATTTTATTTTCCAAAAATTTTACCATTAACTGATATTTATTTTTAGAAGAAAGGAATAGTTTATAAATAAAAATGCATTTTACATTACTAATGATAGTGATTTAAATTAACTTGAAAGTATCTTGATAAATATGATTATCCATTTATCCTTTGAATGAAGATTAAATATTTAAGAATAGGGCCTAGCCTATTTATTAGAGTCTGGAAGCCCACTTAGGTTGTTATAGGAAGCTAAGACCAGGAGTTCATAATTATAAATATAAACCTAAGTGAAAATTTATTGAGAAACAAAAGTGCATTGATTATTTCAGGTTTCTTGCAGTTGAATGATTGGTAAGACCTGCAAGCTCTGTTCAAATGTGCTAAACAAATAAGAATATTTTAATTTTAATAATACCAAAGGTCTTGCAATGGAAAACAAACCAACTAGGACTCGGAAAATTCCAAAGCATTACGTAACTTTGAATGTTGTTGCCACAATACTGACTCTGGGTGTGCAGTAGAGAATATGAACAGCAATATAAATGTATTTCTTTAATTTCTCATTTATTTCTGCCTATCTACTCTTTCAAAATAAGTTAATTTTCAGAAAAAGTTACCTGAATCACATCTTAACAGGCAATCAATTATGGTTGCCTAGGTTGGAAATAGTATACAGAGGAGTGGGCTCTGCTAATTCCAAAATAGTTCTCACAAACACAACACAATAAAAATGATGTAGCCTGCTTTTCTCAATCATTTCCTCTTGTTACTTTTTTAGAGAATCCACCCACACAAGCATGATTACAGAAAAGAATTTAATCACTTCAGTTCTTTCAAATAGAAGCAGATACACTTAGATATACTTCCATTCCAGGTAATCATCTAGCAAATACACTGTATCCGTGGACAATGATACCTAGTTTTTTCTCCCATGTTGTTGTTTAACTGTTTACTCCCTAGGATTTCGGGCTTCCATTCATAAAATAAAGGAGCTGGGTTAGATCATCTCTGACGATCTCCCCAGATTCCGATTGCGAGTCTTCATGAATTTGGGGAAAACACCTGTCTGCCTCCCTCCTGCCTTCCCCGCTCCACGTGGTATATTGGGACTATAAAAATTACAATATCGGCAAGTGACAGTTTCATTTCTGTGCCTCAGTTTACCTATCTGTAAAATTGAAATAAAGATAATACCTCTGTATATGGTGATTTTTTGAATTAAAAATTATTATTTATGAAAAGTCTTAGAACAGTGCCTAGAAAGTATTATACATTCAATAAATATTAGCCACCCTCTAGGATTACTAAGCCTAAAAGTGGGGAAAATATAAGTACATCAGCTCAGGAATCATGTCTTGTACTGTCTGCTGTGCACTGCAGGGAATATCAGAAACGTGGAGACACAGCTCATTTCAGAACTCAACTCTGATACTTAAATACAAGAGTCTATACCTCGAACATTTTTTTCCCCTTCTTCCTTAAAATGAGCATCACAGTGCTTAATTTACAGGATTCCTGTGAAATGTGAACACATTTATACATAGGAAGCTCAATGCTCAAAACATCTTCGTTACCCCCTTCCTCTTCAGAACCCCCATACAGTTATAAACTTAGGAGGTCCTCAAGCTATCTAAGTAGTAGTAGATTCTAGCAATTAAGGTGATGAGTTCTGAGTCTACATAAAATGAGACAGGATACTGACTCCAGAGTTCACTTGGAGCATAATCATGGGCAAAATATGTAACATCAATTTCTTCATCTATAAAATGAGTAATATGGTAATTAACTTTGAGGTCTGTTGTAAGGATTTGATGAGTTCATTTATGTAACAGCTTAGGACAAAAACTGTTATATATTAAGATTAAACATTTAGGAAATATTTCTCATTAACATTATACATGTTTGTCGTATCAATGAGCATATGTGAATTAAGAATAGTATACCATTGTATTATTCTTACTACAAATTTTGAACAGCTTATTAAAAATACATACTATTTTAACATGGGATAAAGAAAGGTACATAAGAAAAAACATAGTTTCTCGGTCATGAACAATCCGTTCTTTCTTACCTGAAGGCTGGGGTTCCTCACACTGGGGAAACACTCTATCATTAAGCAAAATCTTTCCCTCCTGGTCTGGACTCCCCTACAAACCTGGAGATAAACTTTATTTATTTCAGCCATTTAATGTTTTTGTTTTCTCTCCTTTGGATTATTAGCCCTACCCAAATTAGATGCTCATATTCCCCTTTGATAATTTTTCTTCATCTCAAAAAAAGTAATGCTCTAAACTTAGGAAAAAGAAACCTACCACGTGGATATTATGCATTCAAGTAGATTGATTGAAAATTTTTCCATATATTTTTGCAGTATGTCTTAGAAGCATACTGGTATTCTGATTTTTAATCATTTTGTATTCAGTCCCTTCACTGAAATTCTGTCCACTGATCTGCTGGGCTGGTGCATCTTTTTCATATTCAGCTTTTTTTCATCATGGAGCACAAAGAGCTAATGATATGATTAAATGAGTAAATCAAATAACATTTTGGTGGTTGAGAGATATGGTACTGATAACTCAAAGAGCTGATGCACGAAACTCAATTCATCATAGTTGAAAGCAGCCTTCCTCACATACTAGAAGTAGCATTTATAATGATTCTAGATCTTTCCAGCAAAAGGTTTATTTGAGGGTTAGATTATAAATACAATCTGCATGATTTAAATACTCATTTTAAGGAAAGCCACTCATACATTTATGAGCTGGATTGAACTTACCAGCTGCTAAACTCATCAGGCAGATTTCTTCTAAGCTTGAGGCTTCACACCCAAGAAAAATCAGAATTGAAAAAAATCAGCATTGCTATGCAAAAATACATCTCAGATTGCATGAAGTCTTATGGGAGAATTCTTATGAGTTCCGTCAATAGAGATACACTTCGTAACTTGAACTAAATTTGAGACTTTTTTAGTGCACTATTTTTCCATTTCTAGAAAAGAAAGAAGTGTCTCTCTGACGTTTATTTACCTTTGTCTTTAGAGAAAATTTTTGTATTTTATATATATAAATATAGATAACTTTATATGTTCTTTTTGATATTTAATTGGCATTTAAGGCAAATTCTGAGAAAATGGGAATACAAGATTTGTCTCAATATCTCTGAGGGCTTAGAAATTTCCCATCAGTATACTTTGCCAAAGATATAAACTACAGCTTCAATTTCTTCCTAATAAATAGTTATGCCGAAGTTCCTAATTACATTTCCCTAATGCATCAGGATCCAAAACACTGAGATTAAACATGAGACACGGGGACCATGAGGAAATCTTGTGTGTGATGCTCGTATGTCAGGACAGAGCGGAATCAAGTAGCTAAGGGAGGCTGAGGTGAGCTGCAGTGGGGAACACATGAGAAGCCTATGGCCTGGATTAAAAGCACAGCAAGTAGGCTGAGGGTTTAAGATTTAAGTTTCCCCAGGGGATAAAAAAGGCTTGCTAAGGCATTGGAATTTCTAGATGATGCTTCAAAAAAGACTCGTATTCTTTCAACAGTGCTTTCAGGAAGCCCATATGCTCCCACGGGTTCTCTTGCCAGATGAGCAGATAGTTTCCCAATTTATCTCTGTACAGCAAAGTCCTTTCTGAAAATACATGTTATACATTATTATACATAGTAATGTATAGTGTTATATACATAACTATACACATATAACTAATATAATAATAATATTACCATGTAATAGATGATTTGTTGGGAATATGTCCCAATCCTCATAGTTAGTAATCAATGCTGGGTCCAGAACTCATGCCTTTAACCTGTATTTTATAAGGTACTAGAATTAGCCACAGTGTGGCAGCTGATTTATACATGAACAGAGCCGGAAGTGAAAGTGCATGAGAACAGAAGGAAAAAGTTCGATGTGGGGCTTAGAAGAGGCTTGGGCATATAAGAAGCTCCAGAATGCAACTGACCACAAAATTATTAGAAAAAAAAAAGTGAATTTTTAAAGAAATCTTGTGGGTCTTAAATTAGATCTTTTAGAATATTCTCTAAGCAAAACAAGTAAAAGATTGGAATTATTTTTTAATTCATTAGTTGGCAGCTGGAATTAGCTTCACTGAACATGGTGAGGCACAAGAATTAGCGACACGGCTCTCAGTGTTGATCTGTGTTGCACGCTGCCTTCCATAGGCGGCTGCTAAGTAGCTAAATTAGTTACACAGCCCAAGGGTCGTGGGGCAGAGGAGAGATAAATAAGAAAACCAGAGCATAGCAGAGAGTCTGCATAAATCCAGGGAAATGTAAACTTTTGCTCGTACTTGAGTTGCTAGGTACAAGAAAAATAGGCAAGCACTATGCATTGTAAAGGTTTCAGAGTAGAGAAATCATGTATTTAACAAGCTCCTTGTGAAAATCAGGGATGTTTTTCAGTTTACTTCCTTCCTTCCTGTGATACGGCACCATAGCTTCTTCATGGCATTCTTCATCTCCGTGTTTCTTAGTGTGTAGATCAGAGGGTTGAGCATGGGGGCAATGATGGTGTAAAACAGAGCGAACACTTTGTCTTCCGGTAAAGTAGTTGCTGGTCGGATATAAATAAAGAGTAAAGGAGCGAAAAAAAGGACCACCACAGTGATGTGGGAACTGCAGGTGGAGAGAGCTTTGCGGCGCTCATCCGCGGGGTAGGACCTGATGGTATATAAGATCACAGCGTAGGATATCAACAGCACCACGAACGTCACCAGGCCCATCAGGCCCGAATTGGCGATGACCAGGAGACCGATTCTGCTCGTGTCCGTGCAGGCCAGTTTCAGCAAAGGATACACATCGCAGAAGTAATGATCTATTTCATTGGGGCCACAGTAGGGCAAAAAGATGGCTAGGATAAACTGACCAAAGGAGTGCAGGAAGCCCCCAGCACAGGAAGCAGCCATCATGGCACCGCACCTCTGCCTGCTCATGATGACGGTGTAGTGCAGGGGCTTGCAGACGGCCACGTAGCGGTCATAGGCCATCCCTGTGAGGATGAAGACCTCGATCCCCCCGAAGAAGTGCATGGTAAAAAGCTGTGTCATGCAGCCATTGTAGGAAATCATCTTCTTTACTGCCAGCAAGTCAATGATCAACTTGGGGGTCACCGTGGAGGTGTAGCAGAGGTCAGAGAGCGAGAGGTAACTCAGGAAGAAATACATAGGCTGCTTGATAAGTTGACTGCAGGTGATAGACATCATGACAAGCAGGTTTCCCATCAAAATTGCAATGTAACAAAGTAGGAATAGCAAAAAGCAGAGAGCTTCAATTTCTTTTTTCTCAGAAAGTCCTAAGAGAATAAATTCTGTAACGTTATTCCTGTTTTCCATGACTCAGAGAAGTTTGTAGCCACCTGAAATTAGACAATTATCAATTCTTATGATATAAATATGGATTAAACATGGTGATGTGTATTATTTCTTGTCATGGGGCAGATTATAATGGAAAGGGTTAAACGTTGCAGAAATAGAAATTTGATTTTCATTTAGGCAGGCTTTCCTGGAGGTCTTTTTGGCCCTTTCTTGAAAACATTAATTATTGGTAATGGAGAGTACAGTATATTTCCATATCCATTCAATTAACATGTATTATCAAATACAATTGGATCTTATGCCCTAATCATAAAATTCAAGAAATGGTTCTGTAGAAAAAAAATTAGATATCTCTTTGCTATTCTCACTATTTATTATGGAGAAAATGCACACAGAAGTGGAGCATTGAGTGAAAATGCAAAAAGTGCAAATATATGAAGTATAATATGTGGATAATATTATATGTGAGAAATTTCCTGCCATCTCTCATAGGTGGAAAGATGATAAACAGAAAAAATTTTTAATTTGGAATCATGATCATACTTAATTTACAAATATAAGTAATTTACAAATATAAGTAATTTACAAATATGCTTAGTTTATAGATGAAATATTATAGTTTATAGTAAATCAAAAGGATAACAAGAAAAATATAATTATCTCTATTTTTGAAACTTTTTTATCTCAGACCTCAAAAATGTTTGTTTTTGACATTTAGCAAGACATCTGAGGATAGTAATAGTACATATAACTTGAAATTTAATCTCACACAGTGCCTTACTCATTTGCATAAACTGGCTTATTTTTAATTGACACACACAAGTTGTTCAGCTCTCCCTAATCAGCCACCCTGAAAACGCATGCTCTGTTCAGTTTCCATGTCATCAGTCTTGGTATCTCAGGCTGACTCTTCTCTCTTTCATCCCCAATATTTTTATTTCCTCCTCCTCCTAGTTCCTGCCATCATGTAATGTGAGACCAACTCTAGTAAATATCTCAGGACAAATGAACACCTGTTTGCTGGTGGAACTTCCAGAACCATAGACAGGCCAAGGGGGAGCCATTGAGAAGCAGCCATTCCACCGAATCACGCCGTAAATTCTCTACTTCAACTGGATAAAACACTGAACCTTAGTATTTAAAATGTTTTAATGCATCTACTCATAACCTCAGCACCAATATATTTACAATTTATTTTCAAAACTGTAACACTTCCCACCTTTTTTTTCCCTTTCAGTGGAATTACCATTTAAATGTGTGTGCATAAAGCAGGGTTTTGAAGAGACAAAATACAAATCTACCTAGTGTGTGAGAGTTAAGATCAATGGCCATGAATTAAATTATTAATTCTATTCTTTATTATTAGTATCCACACTCTACACTTTGTTCATTTTAAGTATTCAGTATGTATTTGCCAAGTTAATGAATAAATTTACCTTCAGTGTTTGATAGAATGAAATGGAAGTTCATTTTAATTATATATCACTATCATTATAATTGTTTTGTCATGTATTGAAGAGATACAAAACTACAGAATGTTTATAATCAAATTTACTTCAGAAAGCTGGAGAGACACAGAGAGAGCCACTGAGAAAGAGTCTTCTGATTTTTACTGGTATCCTGTTAGCAAAAATCATTTGGAGGTCACATAAACCCATCCCTGTAACCTTCCCTCGTTTCTTAGTCTATTGTTTTATGTTAAAACTCGGGTCACTTTCCCTGAAACCCTGGCGGTCTCCAACCTTGGTGGTCTCCACTATGTACAGAACTACACCTGCCCGTCCTTTACTCCTCACCCTTTCATTCGTTCTGAAGGGCTGTTTGCATCATCTTCATTAGTATCCTATTTTAACAAAT